ATCTGTTATTTTATAAACAAAATATGATATTTAGATACAATACTTGAAATGTGTTGAGTATTTAAACAGATATATTTAAAATTATTTTTGATTTACTTACAAAACAATTGTGATGTGAGTCTGTGTTCAGTCGATCGCAAAGTAATTCAATAACTGATTGATAGTTAAGTTTGTTTTCGATAGTAAACTCCGGATTTATGATATATTCAGTCATTTTCTTATTGAATTAATTTAATTATAGCTGAACTAATTTTTATTATTTATATTATACTAGTTGAAATTAAAAACAACTATTAAGTTTATAATTTGAATAAAAATATTGCACTGGTTCAATATTTATACTGTTGACGAAAATTAGTATATTATCTCAAAAACAATTTAATTGAAACTGAGTTCATATTTTGATAGAAAACGGTTTATTTACTAAACCCAATCTCTAACATGAATGTCTGCCATAAATCATAAATTAATATAATATAAAATATTAGTTTGCTAAAACATGTTTCCTTACACTTACTGTCAGTAATCAATATACCTTAAAATTCTTAAGTCCTAACACTGATTGGTAAACAAATGCATATCTTTTATGATAAAATGTGATATTAAACCAGATAGATCAGTTTAAAATAGGTACTAATTATCATTTATTTAAATTTCTAGAAATATAAAGATTAACCCATGTACAGCCATGTAATGCACAGCTATCATTTCTTACTACATACTTTATTATTTAAATTATTTAATAGAATTAACAATGATAAATTATTTTATTTTATTAAAGTAGTAATTTGTATAATTTATACAGTATAAATATTGATTAAAATAAATTGATATTATGATTAACTTAAAAGTAATCTTTTTATAAATATTTAATTTTAATGATAACTCGGTTTACAAAATATAATTTTATTAACAAGTACAACCAAATTCATATTTTAAGTACTGAGCATTTTCTTAAGCACACCCCGGTTAATCTTTTTCAATGAAGTCAATGGAAAGGCATCTAACACTCGGATCCCTCCCCTCAGCTTCTTATAGTAGTTGACCCTCGAGTCCACATAATCTATGAGTTCTTGTGGGGTAATTGTAGCCCCATTTGCACGTGTGATGAAAGCCATGGGCACTTCACCCCTTTCCTCGTCCTTCACCCCAAAGACGGCCGCATTGACGACATCGTTGTGAGTCAACAGAATATTCTCGATCTCCGCCGGCATTACAATCGACCCTTTGGTTCACAATTGTGTATAAAATTTAAAATACAATTAATGTTAAAAATATTTTTCATTCAGTTTATTTCTGTCGAGGTGGACATACTCTCAACATTAATGACTTCCTTAGATCGGCCGACAATATAAAAGTAGTGATTGTCGTCATAATAGCCAATGTCTCCAGTCTTGAGGAATCCATCGGCGGTGAAAAGTTTGTCATTTTCCTCAGCATTGTTTAGATACCCTGGTGTGACCTATAGACGAGTGTATTTTTAAGTAACATATATTTAATAATATATTTGTTCACATGATTTACCTGAGGACCTCCGATGCACACCTGACCATTAGTGTTAGCTGGCAATGAATGTCCCTGATCATCAATTACTTTGATTTGTGTGTTGGGACACACTTTTCCAACACATGTGTAATCGTTTATAAACTGCGTGACAGGAGTTTGTGTGGCCCACCCTACCTCTGACATACTGTAACCTATGTTTGAAATAAAACATTTTATAATTATATAAGGGGTCTTAAAATATAAATACAGTATGTTTTTACAGTACTCACAAATCCTAAATTTTTTAAACTTAAACTTATCAACCATACATCGGAACGTGGTTTCGGATACAGGTGCTGCACCTGTAACCACATCCCTTAGGCTCTTGAGGTAATCCCTGTCAATAGTCTCAGAATTTTTGACTAAATAATTGAGTTGAGTCGGGATTAGGAAAGCACTGGTAATGTTGTATTTATGTATATTCCCGTAAACATCATCCAGGTTCTCATCCACCCTAACAATAGCTAACTGTGCGCGACCATTGATGGCAGATATGAGGTACCTCTGCCCCGACACGTGACTTAAGTTACTGGATAACTGGATCTCGTTTGGTGTCAACTCAGTCATCTCCCGGTGCTGAGTCGCCTCAACCGTTGTCAATAGGTTTCTGTTAGTTTTGATGATAGCCTTGGGCTGACCCGTGGAACCACTGCTCAAGACATAGGTTGCCGTCTCATCCAAACTCGTCTTCACCGGTAATAATATGCTATCATCTCTTGGTTGAGATAATATCTCCTCAAGAGATTGAAGTGTATTTCCATTGGCGTCAGGTTTTGACTGTTTGTCACTTATTAGGAGTTTCTTTAGTTAATAGTAATATGAAATTAATTTTTAATTGAAGGGATTAATTTGGGTATTTGTTTTTACCTTGATATATGTTAGTCCATTGCATATTTTCTGTAATTGAACTTGGTTTTTTGGAAAGCATACCACAACTGATGGCTTAAGTTTTTCAATGTTTGATTTGATTTCATCTATTGATAGATAAGTTTTTAACGTTAAAACAATTATTAATTAGATTTGATGTTTTGGTCAAACCTTGTGATGAGTGCTCCGCCAGACAGCAGAATACCATCCCTGCGGCCAATGAGCCGATGAAACCGATTGCCTGAATGTCCGACGAGTTTGTGATGAAACAAATGACATTTCCTTTTGATATTTTGCAGTCATTTATCAAATAATAGGCAAAATTGAGACTCGAGTCCAACACTTGCTTTTTGCTCCACTTTCGCTCTAATGTGCAGTCAATCTGTTATTTTGTAAATAAAATATGATATTTAGATACAATACTTGTAATATGTTGAGTATCTAACGACAGATATATTTAAAATTATTTTTGATTTACTTACAAAACAATTGTGATGTGAGTCTGTGTTTAGTCGATCGCAAAGTAATTCAATAACTGATTGATAGTTAAGCTTGTTTTCTATAATAAACTCCGGATTTATTATATATTCAGTCATTTTCATATTGAATTAATTTAATTATAGCTGAAATAATTATAATTATACTATTAATTAAAATACACTAGTTAAAATTCAAAACAACTATAAACAACTATAATATTGATAATTTGTATAAAAATTCGCACTGGGCCAATATTTATACTGTTGACAAAAATTAATACCTTATCTCAAAAATATTTACAATTTGATTGAAACTGAGTTCACATTTTGATAGAAATCGGTTTGTTTTACTAAACCCAGGGATAGGCCTATTTTTACTATCCCTGGGTTTAGTAAAACAAACCGATTTCTATCAAAATGTGAACTCAGTTTCAATCAAATTGTAAATATTTTTGAGATAAGGTATTAATTTTTGTCAACAGTATAAATATTGAGTGCACACAAACAAATTAAAACAATAAAATCCAATCCGTTTTGCATTCAATTTCTCGATGAACTGCCAAATAGTGAGCCGTGTTTTGACACCAATTGTATGTATAATCAGATACTTATGCATAATATTGACCGACTGGTGGGCAGTAGTTGTAAATGAGGTGCACATGAAGTTTATGCCGATTTGTACCCCAAAAATACCGATCCCTGCTATGATATACACGGCACGGATCAGGGGATGGATACCCGGTTTAAAGGACAGGTAGAGTAATATATCCATCGCGGGTGTGCAAAAGAAATAACAAAACCCTATCAATAGTGACATTAAAAATATTTCCTAAGATTTGAGAAATATTTAAAATACCCTGATTATCGGGAGATTGTACGCATCGGCGTATAGTACGCATTCAATAATTACGGAAAAATCATGTTTTTTGCTCGTATAATACGCATCCGGCGTATAGTACGCATAGATTTTGAAAATAAATATAAGCCTAAAAATGTTTTAAATATGTTTAAATATGCTTCCATTACTTCAAAATATGTCATAATAATTAATATATAATTGAATTAATTGTTGACAGAAATTGAAGATTTGATCATTTTTAAGTGATTANATTTTTAAGTGATTACCATTATAAATGCTAAATTACTAAAGCTTAATGATTTTGTTGCCATGAAAATTATCAAACCATCAAATTTATTATATTTTACATAAGCTAGAGATGGCTGATTAATATCATTTATAAAAGTTTCAAATTAAGAATTTAAAAATATTTTGAAAATAATTAAAATTAGCTCAGATAATACGCATCCGGCGTATCGTACGCCCCTTAATAATTTTCATAAAAATCACTTTTTTCTCGTATAATACGCGTACTATCTCCCGATATTCAGGGTAATAAATTTGCTATTTTTATTTTAATGTCATTTAACTTATACTACCGTATGAATATATAAAAAATCAATACATATAAAAAGAATATATTATTTCATATAACATATAATAAATTATATATATTCAGTATATATATAATTATATATAACTTATAATAAATATTGTTTATTAGGTTTTGCAAAATATTTATATGAGTTTTAAATAATATTGTTTGACATACTATTTAAGTTAATGACTCTATAAATCATTGGATTGTTATTGTATAATTATAGGTGTTTTAAATATGCAGAAGTATCATAAATAAATAAATAATATTTGCCAAATCAAGCAAAAACAGACAAAATGTCACAAAAAATAAACGGATTTCATCCAGTATATTATAAAGCCAAAATAACTACCTATTTCTATAAAGGCTTGTATGACATGAATGGCTTTACATCATTGGAGAGATGTATGTCTACTTTCTATGTGCTAATCGCACCCACATTTGATGACTACACCAACACCCGGATCCCTTTTGTCAGAAAATACAAAGTGTTTGCACTGAACTTATTGGACGGCTTTATGATCATCCGT